CAGAACATCATTGAAAAGGCAGAGCATCGACGCGTCTGCAGTACAAGTCTTCAACGATCTAGCAGATTTACAATTCAGCACAAGTGGCCCAATCATTTTGAAATTGAGCTCTTATTTCAACACTATCAGCACAAATGACACGAATCAGCGTATGTGGAAAATATATTTCATACCCGAAATACGCATAATTAAACTGTCTGCTCCAAATGGCAAACTGCGAAAATGCCTGTTTCCGGCCAGCAACTATGGTCCCAGTAGAAATGCATCAACCGAATTCAATGGAAGTTCATTTATTACTAGTTTCTATCTGCTCCTTCTCTTCTATCATTCGATATCATATCTTTAGGCGGTACAATTCAAATATTTCTCAAAGGCATGGGCGTAAGGAACACACGTAGATATCTTGCTGCTCGGGCTCGTTGGGGGCTATTTTATTTGCTCGTAGCTTGCTATGCCCCGTCTCATAGCTAAGTAGCCCAAGTTGCGAGTTCTATTTCCCAACGTATTACATATTATTTTTATAAACAAGTTACGACTAAACAAGTATGTTAAACCTTGCGCATCCTGAGCCGTTTCCAACGAATGCCAAACAAATCGTGTAAATCAAATGTTGTTTTGCCACTAGATGACTGGTTCTCTACTTACCTCAGGGAAAGAAGTATATGTGCACTTTTTAATTTGCATGTATTTTCTCTAAAGTTAAAGGTACAGTTTTTGTAAGTACGCAGTTTTGTATTCTTATCTTTTATGAACATATCCTAATTCAACGGTCCTCTTTGGACTTCATTCGTTGTACCGTTTCTAAGAACATGTGCTGAAACTTGTGATTTTAATAGGAAATAAGTATATGTGCATATTGAGATTACTCTGTTATTGATAGCGATTAAGCTAAGAAGTGTGATCTAAAAATATTTTTTAGTCAGCGGAACGTAAGTAAAATATATTTTTTATCTTTGTATAATAAAATAATGAATATTTAGTTTGATTTTACGGTAGAATGCCTCGTGGTTTACATTTGTCAGAGGAAGATCGCGGCATGATCAAAGGACTGGCTGAATCTGGCCAGACCATTTCTTATATTGCTGCCAGATTAAATAGGCACAGGAATACAATTAGTAACTTCCTTAAAAATCCAGAAAGTTATGGAAAAATAAAGCGAAGCGGCAGGCCCACTAAAATCGACGAGCGGTGCAAGAGAATAATTCGGCGTCTAGCAGTTCAAGACAACAAGTCTTGCATGGAGATAAAAGGCAAACTTAATCTTGAAGTGTCCAAAAGACGTATAAACCAAATTTTAAACCAAAACGCAATGGTTACATATGCTTCACGCGACCCTGTACCAAGGCTATTAAAGCGCCACATAACCGCTCGTCTACAATTTGCTAAGAAATACAAATTGTCGGAGGAGTTTAAAGATGTTATATTTTCGGACAAAAAAAAATTTAACTTAGACGGCCCTGACTCCTGTCAAAAGTACTGGCGCGACAAAAGGCAACCACGGCAGGTCTGCCATAAACGAAACCACGGTGGAGGATCATTAATGGTTTGGGCCGGATTTGGGTATGCTGGGAAGTCTCCACTTTGTTTTATACCGACTAGAAAAAATGCAGAAATTTATATAGAGTTACTAGAAACAGTGCTCATTGAATTTGCTGGAGACATTTATGGAGATGAGTGGATATTCCAGCAAGACAACGCGCACAGCTCGCATCCACACAGCTCGCAAAACAAAAGACTTTCTGGCAGCTAGAAAAATACCTCTATTACAATGGCCAGCGATCAGCCCGGACCTAAACCCAATAGAAGATCTTTGGGGAATTTTTTCTTATAAAGTTTACAAGAATGGTCGCCAGTTCGACACAGTTAATGACCTTAAAAAGGCTTTGATCAAGGAATGGGATCAAATTAATCCGACAACGCTGAAAAACTTAGCAAATTCAATGCCCAATCGTATTAATCAAATTTTTATTATGAAAGGAAGTCATATAAATTATTAGGAAGTGTACTTAAAATTTTTGAAAAATTTTCCAATATGTATTTCGAATTTGTCGGCCAGTATGCACATTTACTTATTTCATATGATCAAGGAATTTGATCAAGGAATGGGATCAAATTAATCCGACAACGCTGAAAAACAGCAAATTCAATGCCCAATCGTAATAATCAAATTTTTATTATGAAAGGAAGTCATATAAATTATTAGGAAGTGTACATAAAATTTTTGAAAAATTTTCCAATATGTATTTCGAATTCGAAAAATTTTTTCGAATTTACTTATTTCATATGAATCAAAACGTTTACGAAAACTATATTGTTATTTTTTTGTTAATATGTATTCCAGCAATATAAATAAATTTAATCAAAAACCTAATATAATTATTTTATGGTTTTTTTTTTTAAATAATTTCAATGCACAAATACTTCTTTCCCTGAGGTATGTATTATAAAGTCATCTGGAGCGCTGTGAACCATGAGAGAATATAAAAATAACAAAAGGTAAACATTATTTTTAATCGGAAACTGAAAACGTTTGAATTGAATTGGCGCATCTGTAAGTATAATAAGAATCCGTGGTATTAGTATATTTTCACCTCTGAACTTTCCATTTAAAATTCTGGCTTCGATCACGTTTTTCATTAATTTTTGAATGACCAATCGCATTCATTGGTTAATTTTTGAATGACTTGATGCAATTGCACTATTCTAACACGTACATCAGTATTTTGTTGCTGGATTTGTTCGTCGGTTCTTTCGGATATTTTATTTCGCATGTTTTGAGATCTACTTGTATCACGGCTCAAATCACACCCTTTGCGTTTTCTTGGCAAACACTCATAAATAGAATTAATGTATTTACTTAATGATGAAGGATTTTTGCCCCAGTTTAAATTGAGTTAAAATGCTATGGTGGCGTGAGTTTGTCAGTGTGATGAGGTAGTAGCTTACTTTATATACGATTTTTGGTATGTCGAACCGGATTTAAGAGGATGAAAAATAGACATTGGCGGACTCTCAGACCTATTCAATACGCTCACAAAATTTCATTAGAATTGCTTTAGACGTTTCGGCCGTATAGCCGTATAGCCGTATGGATTCCTTGCTCAAAAAGATAAACTGAGAAGCGTTTGCTTCCTTATTCGCCGGTAAGTTACTAAAAACGATAATTAAATTAAACTAGAGCTAATTGTGGAAGTGCATGATAGATCTTAACATCGGCAAAAAGCCTGGAGGTCTGCTGTATAGCAAAATTTATAATTTGAAGGCTAAGAAGAAAAATTTATCAGCTGGTGTAATAAGAATTATATAAAATATTTCGATATTCTCGCGGAAACTATTGCATTTTGGAAGTTGACAAACGAAAAACTTTCTTTATTTTGTATTTAAGCTTGACTTAAAAATTTAAAATCCATTTTTGGGATTTGATTCTAATAACATGTTTAAAAATTTTCTACTGTCAAAAACAAATTTTTTTTCAAGGGCCATCGCGAAATGGTAAATGTATGCTTTTTTCTGTACGAGGAACTTCATCGGATCAAGTCGCCACTTCGAGGAGCTTCGTCGGAGAATCTAGGACGAGGTCGACGCGATCACACAATACCGCGGTCACACAATCAAATTCCTACTGCTTCGAGCAGTAGGCAACGCTGACCGGGAAGGAGCTTCAGACCGTTGTCGTTGGAGTTAAGGCCGTCCTGAAATCAAGACCCCTGGATACTCTGAGTTGACAGGCGGGCTTAGTTGAAGCCGGATGGAGGCCTTTAACAGGGCTGGTGTCAACGGATACGCCGTTTTTATAATTAGAGTTGTTTATGAATTTGAATTTGTTATAAATTTTTAATTTGTTTTTGAATTGAATTTTTTTTGTTTACTTGAATTTGTTAGTTATCTCTAGTTATGTATTTATCTAAATTTAGTATAAGATAGCTTAAGGCGGAGCGGGAGCGAAACTCACATTCGCTCTTGTGCAATTCGCCCTGCTTCGCCGCACTAGATAAGTTAGGCTTAAGGGGTTATATACCTCCTTTGTCGAAGAAAAAGAGGAAAGTTTGGATTTTTTTTTAGGTATGTAGCAATTATTTAATTACACGGATGTTTTAATTTTTTGATAGTACACTTTATTAACAATGTTTGTGCAAAATTTCGTGGAAACATATTAAATAGTTTTTAAGGGGTGGCTGTTTCCCTTAGAGGACTTTTTTTTCAGCCTTGCAGTGACAGTTCCCCAGGTCGAACAGGTCAACTAAAACCATAAAAGAAAAAAATTTCATTAGTTTAGTGTAATTCCTTGTGCTTGAACGATCGATTTAAAAATTTTTTTTTATGCATACGGGAACGTTTTATGCTAAAAATAAACTTTTTGGTCTCTAGAAATTTCACTAAAAAATTCATTTCGGCGAAAAAAAAGTTTGTGCGTGAAAAGTCGATCGCTCAAGCACAGAAGAATTTCATTACGAACATTTAAAAAAAAGTTTGAAGTAAATCGGTTCAGTAGTTTTCCGCCAATCCATGTCACCGCAAAGTCATTTTTCAAGAAACACCATTTCGAGATATTCGCGTTTAAAGATTTAAGTTCAGTTCAAGGCCGCGACGAGGCGCGCGGTTAGGAGCGCTGTAACTTTTTTTCTACTGCTCCAATCTCTAAAAAATGTTCTGAATGTTCTCAAGAAGTTGTTCTTTAAGATAAAGCAATAAAAAAATTTTCGATTTTTTGAAAATAAAAAAGGTATATAACCCCTTAAGATTAGAGAAAAATATATAGATCGAATTATAACGTTGAAGAGGCAGCATCTTTAATTTCCCGTTTAATATTTAGCAGCCACCAATAAAATTAATTTTTGTTTTTTATTTGTGAGAGATAAAATGATCTCAATAAACAGAGCTCGACAGAAATTACTAGTGGAGATTTTTTTCTGTCGGTGTTTTTCCAAAGACAGGGACCAATTTAAAAAAAAATGTGCACCATCGGCTTTACACCAAATCGTCAAGAAGAAGACAAAATGTTTATATTTCAAATTTTTATTTTTCCTGGCTAGGGTATTAAAATTAGTTACATCGAAAATATGTGTCCTTCTAGTCTCTATCAATGTGTACAAAGTAGAGTAATAATTTAGAAAGACTGTTGGTAGTACGTACAAATAGAGTATACATAGATATATTTATTATAATTCATTTAAAGAATTTTAACCATGACACTCCATTTAATGATTGATGATAAGGTGCTTAAATATGCTTCATTATAATTTTAACCATATAATTATTAATTTAAGTTTTACTCTTATAATAGTAATTATCTTTAGAATACATGTTTTTAACAATAGAAAATGCAAAAGCCTTAACTAATCAGTACTATATATTAACGTTTTATTTTAACAGGCTGTTTATTCCATATTAAAAGCATATGAATTTGCTTAATCCTAAAATTGTTTAAAAATGTATATTTTGTGGCCTAGACGAAGCAAACAAAGCGCAAGCGCATTTGCAGTATTATGTACTTCGGTGTTCATTTTTGTATGTATTGAATATTTACAAGTAGGTTTAATAAACCTTAAATCGTCGATTTCTCATTTCAATAATAAGTTCTAATAAAAAAATGTATTTTTTCTTTTGTAAAAAATAATAGCTTATTTTTGTTTCAATATTTTTATCAGAATAATAAATTGTTCAACTACAAAGACTCTGCACAATATTAAATTAAATATTTAAACAAGAGAAAACATATTTTTAAGTAAACAAGCGGGCAGATGAAGTATAAAATTTTTTATGTTTTTAGACGTAATATATTTGTTTTAATGTTCAATATAATGTAATGTAGATTTGGAGTAAGAAAATTGTTTTGGATATCACTTATTTAAATAAATTATTAGTTAAAGACGCTTAGTAAGTATATATTTAATATGTGTTTTCAATGAATTATTTTTTTTAGTGTATGTTAATTTTAAGAGGGATCAATGTACAAATTTTCTGGCATATCGTAAAAATTGTTTATGTGATTATTTAATTTAGCTTAAGTTCGCTACGTTTTTTATATCTATGTATATCACATATCTGTAGATAGTAGAAAGTGAGGGGTTTACCTACTGTTATTGGCATAAACGGACAATTTAAAGAATATTGATTTGGTAGCTGTTTATAAAAAGATGATTTGTGCCTGCTTGCACGCCAAGCTATGTATCTCTGGGTTAAAATTTTAGCAATCGATGCCGTTCACGGTTGCACTGCAACCTTTGTGGCGACGAGAGGTCTCTTTATCATTTGCCTCTAAACCTATTTGAGAGCTTTTTGAATCTTCTATTGATCGAAAACGTAGAAATCCTTGATCTGTCACTAACATGCTATCTGATGCACTAGAAGTTGCGCACGAGTTGGAAGAGACAGATGCAACCGAAGCTGAGGAAATCGTGCTCAATTCAGAGCATAGTTTATTATTTTTAAGGTGTCCATGTCCGTGAACATACGTATTTGACAGAGGGTCATGGGAAAAGTTTCGAGCAGGAGCAACACATATCACTGAAGATTTGCCATTAACGGAATGAGAATTTTGTGTATTCACTTCAGCAGTAAATAAATCCCCGTTTTCATTACTTATTAAGTTTGTACACTCAACATTACTTTCTGATGTTATGTCATCTTCCTCCTCATCTTCTTCCGAATCATGATCATAAGGCAGTTCATGTAGTTGGTTTTGCTTCCGAGAATTAATTTTAAAAAACTCATTACCACACGTTCTGCCGTTACCTTGACGAGCTTTTTGATAATAATGGGCTTTCTCTCTATTTTTAGTAGATATCGTCTGGGCACAAGTAGTTGTTATGTGATTAGTGCCAGCTATTACGATTGGCGAATCTAAGACGTGCGGCACTCCAACCAGAGCTATTCCACTACCACTATTAGCAATACTGCTTGATGTGCCACTCTTTCTTATGCCATTAAAAGTTCCTTGGTCGAATGAATTATAGCTAACCGCCCACCGCCCATCGCCAGGGCCAGGTAGGGAAGCGTCACCTTCAAAATTGTTACATTCCAGTGTTCTGTTAAGATTTTGGTCTCGCCCATTGTGGTGGTCACGCTCCTGTCTGCATTCTATGTTAGATTGAACAATTTTAAGACATTTATCTTTAAATACGGGGCGCTCGAAAGTGTTGAATTCATACCTTGTGTTTTCCTCTTTAAGCGGTTCCGAATAGCTATCGCATTCCAGTAATACTTGTTGCTGGGAAAATTTTGATGCCGAAAAGGATGGTACACCGATTTTATTTTGATCATTACTTTTACTTTGTATGCTGCTACTAGTGGAATTCGAACGTAAATTAAAATTTGGGTTCTCATAGTGGTCTGGGGTGGAATCGGTCAAACAGTCTTTACTTATATAACCTGCTGCTTCTTGAAAACGCTTTTGATGTGTTTGATCATTATGGTGGTATTTTTGTGTTGTTTGAGACGCATACTCCCCTATGTTCTGGCTGTTAATGGTACTACAAATGGACCCCGTATCATAAGGTCTTTGATACATTGGCTCCTGCAGCTGATAGCCGTGCGAAGATGTGCCTGGAACTGAACCAATGGAATTCAGAGCGTAGCTATCGTCGTAGATAAGTTTCCCTGTACGCATTGTATAAGTATGAAGATTCGTATTTGTATTACAAATAGCAGGGTAATCGGTTTCAAAGTGCTCCTGGCTAGAACTTGATGTGCATGGCAAAAAAAAGTTTGTAACATTTGAGTTGTGGTTTCCATTTCCGTTGGCGATATTTTTCTGTCGCATAACATTGTTACTAGGATTTTCTGCCTGGCCGTATGCCCCCATGGCGGACATATTAGCACCAGTTGTGCGAACTTCACCGTTTGCAACATTTTGCGAATTGTGTCCGATATTGGTTTTAAGTCCAGTTACCCATGAAATAAGTGCTATTATAGAAATTTCTAAGAGGCGTAAGGAGAACTGATATCCCCATTGAAGCCAATCGACATCAAACATGTTAGTTTGACGGGATGTTGAGATGCATATAGCCCCAAATATTTGTAAACCTGCCATAAGTACAAACAACAAAGCAGTTGCAATTGTGATGTGTATGGCGTAAGAAAGATTCTGGTAGCCATGAATATAGTTTTGAGATTTACTGCGCAGAATGCGTTTCAAAATGCGGTATAAGTACAAGTACAAGAACCCTAAACTGAGGCATATAAATATGTAAATTATCTGACAGATAAGAGTCAATACACGGGGAGCCTGAGGTAAGCTGACCAGAGTGGAAGGCGTCCCTGGTGTATTACCTTGATTTTGTTGATAATATAGTTGCTGGCGACGAAAATATTGCTGCTGCTGTTGTTGTTGAAAGTATAAATTTTGGTTTCGTAAAGTATAAGATTCAACATAATGCAGAGTAACGCAAAGAACAACGTGAACGCCGCAGCCCACAACGACAGTCAATGGTCTTATTAGAGCTGAATATCGATTATTTTTGTGATTCAATGATTTTAAAAACAGGAATAATATCAACACAGAAAATGCAACTGTTAAAAAGGTTGACGGGAGGTTTAACAATAGCTCGGCCGAAAATATATTAAAGGTACCATGAATGTTATAAGCATCGAAGCAAAGAAAAAATATTCTCATTATACATATAACAATAAGTGTTAGATTGATACACACAAAATAAGATTGTGTAAATAAATGTGTGAGCTTATTGTATGTAAGGAGTTTGTAAAACAAATATACAGATAAGATAGTAAATAGCACAACCGACAGATAAATGTGTATGTTCCATGCCCAAGTCCATGTTGTATGTGCAGATGCAGCTGCTGCAGCAGAAACTTCACGATTTCGGCTTCCACGGCTCGCCTCCGATTCCTTTTCATTACTAATTTTTGAGGTCTTTTCTAAATCTCCTGCATTTGTAGTAGCGTATGAAAGTGAAGTAGCTGACGAATCTCCAATGGCAGCTGCTGCCGATGGCGTAGTACCTGTGCTTTGGTTTGCCTTATCATAAAAGTCTAAGTGGCCTGGTACATTTTTGCTCTGATTAATATTTTGACTAGCCCCTGAAGATTGATCACCATCAAAATGATCATCGTTTTTTAAAGTGTTTTCGCTTAGTACTTTTGGAGAAGATGGTGGCTGACGAACGCTTAGAATGGGTCGCTGGGTTACTTGTTTTAACAGAACCGCAGGTATATCCCCATTGTTTCCAGTTGATCCTAGAATACGCCTTATGTTAGGCAAAACTTCCTGCTTTTTAATAGGATCAAGAGTATCTTGTAATTGGGACTCTGGTCCCCTTGACTTAACCGTTTGATTTAACAATTGTTCACTGCTTGCGCGTGCTGGTGTATTAAGGTTCTTTTTTTTATCGAATCCGTCGATATCTGGCATTGTACCAAATTCACTGTTAAACGAATAGGATTTTTTATTATTTAAGCCACCGTTGACAGAACTGACATCCTCTGAAGATGTTAATATTGGATCGTTGCTGTTTCCAGACAATTCTGGAGGTCGTATGGGTATTCTGTCTTGACTGGGCATTAGGCTTGGGGGTGGAATCGGTCGTCTGTTAATTGTTAAGAGTCCTTCATTATTAGAGCCTCGCAATGTTGGTTTGTCAGCAAATGGGTTTTTAAATTCAGGTGGCAGCGGTGGAGTGAAAAATGTTCTCGAAGGTGGAGAATATGACGGGACATCTCCTGAATACATTGGTATTGTAGGAGGTTGCGCTCCATTTGCTTTTTTTATAATGTTAGAGACTAAAAAGAAAATAAAATGTGTTACAAAAAAGTTCAAATAATTGAAATATCGATTTACTTACCTAACGGATTCGGTGTAGAATTATACTGCAAATTATTTCGGTGTCGATCTCTTTCATGAGAATGATGACGATTTGGATTTGGGTAAGTCGGATTGTTATTACTTTTAAGTATGTCAGCATTGGGGGCAGAAGTTGGTAATGCATGATCTCTTTCTAAATCTAGTTCATAGTTTCTTTGTCGACCATTGACTCCATGTTGCTGGTGTGCAGGATTGTACCTGATAAAACAAAAAAAATATTAGGCTAAGGATTGGGTATTTTCTATAAACAAAAAAAAAAATAAAAAATAATAATAATAATGTTATGAGAATATAAAAAAAATTGGAGTTTTATTACATTTTTATTTCCGATTGTTATACCCTTGCAGAGGGTATTATAATTTTGTCCAAAAGAGTGCAACGCAGTGAAGGAGACATCTCCGACCCTATAAAGTATATACAGTAGCGGACAATAAAACCAGGACCGGCAGAAACTACTTCTTTTTTTGGGGTTTTTTTTTCACCCAGCGTTTACTTTATGGAGTAAATTTGTTTTAAGTCGATGAAATTAATATTCGAAAATTTGAAAGAAAAAAATCGTCGGACCGAAAAATTTTCGGCGCGCGAGGATAAATTGAAATTTATTAGTGCGGTCAAGGCGAACCCATAATATGGGATTTGACCCACAAGGGGCATTTTAACGCCATAAAATGGCATTGAAATGATTTGTGATTGATTTTGATTTTGACCCAGTTTTCTTTTTCTTAATCAGCTCCTTAGCGGCGAAATACATAAAGAAAACACCAAAATCCAATCGGTTTGAATTCATTTTTCCTTATTGGTTTTTTGTTTACAAACAACAGCTGTTCAGTATTACCCTTTTTCTTAATTTTTTTGGTCAGACTAGCTCGGTAGCTGAATAAAGTGCGATTTCGCTAGCGGAATTTCAACAGCGGATTTTCGTCAACTCAGTACTAGGCTTAAATTTAAAAAAAAATACTAGAAATTTAAATCTTTAATTATCTTTTAAACAAATCCTTAAAGAAATATATATCCCTTTTTTCACGATAACAAGGACCTGAGTCGTCCTGAAAGATTATGTTTGGGGCATAAGAAAGATGCTCCTTCTAAAGAGGGTAGAAGGCGACGATTAAGAACACCTTGGAACTTTTCGGCATTCACAGTTCCATCAATTAATGCCAAATCACCAACGCCATAGTAAGAAAAGCATCCCCGGACCATTTGACATGCTCCTTGCCTGGCCGTTCGCCGTAAGCAATTATTTTTAAAGGGTTTGTCGCATTTGGGGCGCACGTAGCTCACACTATTGTAAGCCAAATGGATTATTTTAGTGTCGTTAGAAAAAATGACGTTCCGCCAATCATGTACTGTCCAAGATTCGTGCATTTTGACCAACTGTAGCCTTTTCTGGAACATTTTTGCAGTCAAGACTGGGTTTTTCGCTGTTCGCCGACCATGAAGTCCTCTTCTCAATGTTCCTTAGAACGGTTGGAGTGCTTTTTTTGACTCCTTTCGACTCGTAAAACTTACTTGAAACGATCAGTCATGCTTAATCGTAAAAGGATTCGATCCTCGTGGTAGTTGGTCTTCTTTTTCTTTCCTGATCCTGGCAAGAGTTCTGGCTTTCTCAAAATTTGGTAGGAAATCCTCGAAAGAGGACCTAATAACTCCAACGTTAGAGCTTATTCCTCGGAAGCTTAAGATTTGGCCCCTTGGACACTTTCAGTCATTAAAAAAAAAAAAAATTTTTAACAAGAAGTTTAATAATTAAAAAAATGCTTTTAACTTCAACTCGATATAATAACTCGCGCTCCTACCACACTAACGCAAAATTCACATTTAGTGCAAAAGCAGGTCAACGACTATATAAGTCAACGACTCTTGCTGTCATTGAGCTCTTCGTATGTTGCTCCTTCAATGAGCAGTGGTAAAGTGCGATTGACCCAAAAAACCCAATGCAAACGATCTTCACACACTTAATTCACGATCGCTATTAATATATTTATTCTGCAAAACAGACGCAAAAGACCTATTGCTGCACTGAACGCGACAAAATGGTCTTGGTTCAACCAGAACAAAACAGAATAGAAAACAAAAAAGGAAAGCTAACTTCGGGCGTAGCCGAAGTTGACGTACTCTTGCAGTTACAACCGGATATATATTGCCAAAATCGGATAACGTTGGTCGATCCTTATGAGAATATCATAATAAAACCCATTAAATACAATAAAATATCTAAAATAAAAAAAAGTCCCAAAAGTCCCTAGTCGGCCGATCTCGGCCGTTCCGACTCATATACTGCTTGCAAAGGAAAGAAGAAACCGACAGACAGTTTACAGTTTACATGTTTACATGAGCTTTCACGTTAAAAAAATTACAATCGATTAAAATGGAGTTCACAAACGCAGAAATTCGGGCAATTTTGAAATTTTATTTCGCACAGGGGAAAACTGCTGCAGAATCTCGCAGACAGATTATTGTGGTCTTATGAGATAACAAACTTTCGATTCAAACCGCCAAACAGTGGTTTAGGCGATTCCGAAGTGGCAATTTGGATACCGAAACACCCAAGCCTTCCGGACGACCAGTGACCGTTGATACGGATAAAATCATGGAAATAGTGGATCGAGATCGTCATGTGACTATTAGAACCATCGCAGAGGAGCTGCAACTAAGCACGGAAACCGTCCATAGGCAGTTAAAGTCGAAAAATCTAACAAAAAAGCTCGATGTATGGGTGCCTCATGAGTTATCCCAAAAAAAACCTTTTCAACCGTGTATCAATCTGCGAATCTTTGTTGCAGCGTAATAAACTCGACTCATTTCTGGATCGGTTAGACACTGGGGATGAAAAATGGATCACATATCGCAACATAAAGCGTAAAAGATCCTGGTCGAAGCACGGTGAGTCGTCTCAAACGGTGGCAAAGCCAGGACTGACGGCTCAGAAGGTGTTGCTGAGTGTATGGTGGGATATCAGAGAAATTATCCATTATGAAGTGTGCCCTATGGCCAATCCAACAATTCGGACCTCTACTGTGAACAACTGGAGCGATTGAAGATTGCACTTGAACAGAAGCGGCCAGCCATGGTGAATCGTAAGGGCGATGTGTTCCATCATGACAACACCAGGCCTCATACATCTTTGGTGAAGCGCCAGAAGCTCCGGGAGTTCGGATGGGAGGTTCTTTTGCATCCACCATATAGTCTGGATCTAAAACCAAGTGACTACCACCTATTTCTGTCCATGGCGAACGCGCTTGGTAGTCAGAAGTTGGCCACAAGAGAGTCCTGTGAAAATTGGCTCTCCGAGTTTTTTGCCAGTAGGGACAAGGACTTCTTTAGGAGAGGCATATACAAGTAACCATCAAAATGACAGAAAATCATCGAAGGTAGAGGCACATACAGCACTTAAATCGGACAATGTTAAATGTTAAAATCGTCGTCAAAAACCAATAAAGAAACCGGTATGTCATTACCAAACAACCTAATACTTTGTAGGGTCGGAGATGTCTCCTTCTCTGCGTTCTACAAATTTCACATTCTGAAACAAAATTAAAAGATAAAAAAAAAAGCTTTCAAGATATCGACATGAATCTTTGCACACACCCTTCATTCCTTTGCACGAAGTATGTAAGTCAGAACGACCGGGATCGGCATTCTTTATTCTATTTTTATTTGTACGAGTACCAACCTTCGAGTACCATAAATATTCTATTATGTGACCAACTAATCCTATTTCCCAAAATTCAAAAAGATCGGACAACTATAGCTTCCATATAACGATTGGATATTACCAAAAATGGGTTTTTTCGATTTGTAATTGATTTTGAAATCAATGAAATTGATTTTGTAATGAAATTCTCATAACGATCGGACAACTTGATCCATTATTTCCAATTTAAGGATGTAGTCTCACGTTCCGGCCTACTTTTTGGAGGTTATTTCAAAAAAAATTTTTTTAAGGGGGGACATCTGAGTAGAATTTTGAAAAAATCGAAAAATTTTTTTTTCGCTTAAAAAATTTTTTAGGGTCTTAAACATAACATATCAAAAGATAGAGTCCGACCAAAGTGTCGAAATTTCTGCGGCGATGCCTCACAGATATATCCCACAGTACTTAAGGGGTTATATTCAGTTGTGATATACATATGAAAAAATCGATTTTTTTTTATTGCATATTCTTTAAGTATATTCTATTGGGAAAACTCTCACTAAAATTCATAACGATCGGAGCATTAGAACCTAAGCTGTAGCTATTTATAGCGCACTATCTGCATATAAAACTTGTGAGAGTATTCCCAATAGAATATACTTAAAGAATATGCAATAAAAAAAAAATCGATTTTTTCATATATCACAACTGTATATAACCCCTTAAACGCGATTATCTCAGAATCTTTTTTTTGGGAAATTACCTTTGCGGTAAACACGATTACTAAAAAACTACTTATCCGATCAACACCAAATTTTGACCACTTATTTATTATGATATTAGCTAGTCCGTGAACGAGGGATTTTAAATTTTTTTGAAAACTCCTTTTTTAAAGCACAAAAAACGAAAATCGTATACCTTGAAAAAGTACATTTTTTGTTAAAAACGTCGCCATTTTTTTTTAAATCAAAATTTTTAAAAATCTCTCGTTCACGGACTAGACAATACAATATACTAACTAAACTTTTTTGAATTTTGGATTTCGGATGAACTGTTTTCGAGAAATCATGTCCACCGCAAGACACCATCGAAAAAAGACGATTCGGGAATTCGGCTATAACATTTTTGTTATGTAATATTTTTTTATGAAAAAATTTAATTAAGTACCCAGAAACATGTACTAAACAATGTCGGTAAAACATTTTTCATAAATATTTTCTATGGTGTCAAAAAAAAATCCATAAAAATCCATATTTTTGCGCGGTACAACTGTATATAACCCCTTAAAACTTTAAACGCGTTTTTCTCGAAACCGCTTTTTTTGAGTTGGCCGAACACATAACTTGAACAACTCTTAACCTATCGATCTAAAATTTTGACAGTATACTCAGACACACGTAGGATTTTTTTTATATTGCTTACTTTTTTTTTATCAACAATTTTGTGACGTTTTTTGTTCGTAAAAAATGAAAATTTTTTTCAATCACTCACCATTTTGCAAAAAATCCATATATCGAAAAAATCATACGTGTGTCGATAGCCATTGATGTACAGAAACTAACCAAACTTGATTTTTTGTTCTAGATCAAAAGTTAAGGACGTTAGGTGTTCGGCCATGGACCCCCTTTAAAAAAAAATAGGGCCTACGAATAAAGGCTGCAGAGCCGCCATTTTGTTTTCGTGTTATTAAAAAAAAAATGTATTTTGTACTTTAAATATAATATAGTAAAACCTCATTTACAAATTTTTGATTGGCTTTTTCATTTGGCCAAAAAAATTCCAGAAAATCCTTAATAAAAAACAAGAAAGCAAAGCTAACTTCGGGCGCAGCCAAAGTTGATATACCCTTGCAGTTAAAACCAGATATATATCGCAAACATCGGGTATAGTTGGCCGATCCTTATGATTACATCATAAAACCAATTAATTACAATGAAATATCTAAAAAAAAAGTCCCAAACTTCTATCTTCAAAAATACCAAAATTGGTATTTCTACCAAAAAGCAACGCCCCCCTACACAACCATTTCCGATCGTTCAGTTATATGGCAGCTATAGGATATAGACGGCCCATCCTAATGAAAAAATTAGAAAAGATTATTGTTTTGTAAGCTTATGGCTCTGACCCGTACTAGAATAAAATATTTTCATATTTTCAATTAACAACAAAATGCCAAATTCACAAAAAATAAAATTTTTTAAATTAAAACAAGAAAGCAAAGCTAACTTCGGGCGGAGCCGAAGTTGATATACCCTTGCAGCTAAAACCGGATATATATCGCAAACATCGGATATAGTTGGCCGATCCTTATGATTACGTCATAATAAAACCAATTAATTACAAAAAAAAATCCAAAGTTATACCATTTCCGATCAATCAGTTATATGGCAGCTATAGGATATAGTCGGCCGATCCCGGCCGTTCCGACTTATATACTTCGTGCAAAGAAAAGAAGGGTGTGTGCAAAGTTTCAAGTCGATAGCTTTAAAACTGAGAGACTAGTTCGCGTAGAAACGGACAGACAGACGAACAGACGGACATGCTCATATCAACTCAGGAGGTGATCCTGATCAAGAATATATATACTTTATAGGGTCGGAGATGTCTCCTTCACTGCGTTGCACACTTTTGGACAAAATTATAATACCCTCTGCAAGAGTATAAAAAAGTATCTTAAATTAATTATAAAAAAAAACTAATCATTAAAAATAAATGATTATAGTACGGGACAGAAGAGTTACTTTTTAGAACAACATATCCAAATTTTTAGCTAAATCGGTACCATAGAATTTTGTAAATCACCTGCGCCGCACACAAAAATGTCATTCCGAGAAAAACGCGTTTAAAGTTTAGACGCTACCGAGTAACTCATACTATTCGGTGTAGGCACGCTCTCGATTATGGGCTGTATCTTTCATTATTTGATATTTTTATTTGAAACTTCAACAGTACATTCTCAATAAACGGTCTTTTCGACCGTTAATAAAAAAGGCCTTTCTTGTTGTTATTAAATTTATTTTTAAAACTTTTTTATTTGCTTACCTTTGAGTTGTCAAAAACGGTGTGGCAACGGTGGTAAGACTTAATCCATAATTATTTTCAGGGATACTTCGTTTTGTTGTAGATGTAGTGCCATAAGCAACTTTTATCAACACAGCGGCTACACTGTTTTCAAACTTGCTATACTTTTCCATATAGTCCTTTTCAGTTTTGGTGCTATTGACTTGTCCATTTAATTTTGTTTGGAAATATGTTCTGTTACCCAGTAAATTATCATTTTCAAGGTATTGCGACTGCGATAAGGAAATGTGGTGAAACGCAATAAAGAGCAAAAATATGTAAAATCCCAGCCGACCTTGGTTTTGAAGCATATTTCGCATATTGAAAAAAATAAAAAAAGCCGTCCGAAATCGATGCTTGCACCAACTATTGTTTGATTTGCCTCGAAGAGCGAAAATTTTGGTTATATAAATAAGAGATGTTTTCCTCTTTTTTAATACTGTAGTGGGTCTTGAAACAGAACTATGCATTGGCGTTGCATTAACATTCACTTGATATTCCTTTAACTCATAGACAATGTCAAACTGTTTGGCTAAAAAGTACAAAAAATTATTTTAGAAAAAACAAAGTCAAAGTCACTTACCTTTCTCGACCAAACATAGTTCCTCCATTTTCAAAGGAACCTCCGGTTCCTCTGATGCACGAATATTAAACTTTTAAAATATTAGTTTCCATCATTCTTCAAAACAATAAAAATTTAAAAAATGTATTGAGTTACCTAATGAAAAAAACAAATTCACAATTAAGAAAAAGGTACAATACATACACAAATAATTATAATAACACAAGCCGACCATTCTCAATTTATTGTTCTCCACGCATAATTTTAACTGCTTCAAAACCATTAGGCTCCACTAAACCAATGTCCAGAACAAACATAGGTTCCATCACCCACAGTTTCCGCGTTTTACCTAAGAGAAGAAATTGATCAAATTGTACCATATAACGAATGATCGGCGTTGACTATCAATGTTTTTAGTACATATAATTTTTTAAATGTATGCGTACCAAGTCGAAGTAAAACAAGAGAGGAAAGCTAACTTCGGGCGGAGCCGAAGTTGATATACCCTTGCAGTTAAAACCGGATATATGTCGCAAACATCGGATATAGTTGGCCGATCCTAATGAGAATATAATATAATAAATCCGACAAAAAGTCGGATTAACTGACAAAAAATAGAATCTGTACCAAGTTCCAGCTTTCTATCTTCAAAAACACGGTCATTTCCGATTTTTCAGTTATATGGCAGCTATAAGATATAGTCGGCCGATCCTCATGAAATTTGGCATGTCGTATTATTTTGCCATAAATAGCATTCGTACAATTCGAACGCTCGAACTCCAAAAACACCAAAGTTATACAATTTCCAATCAATCAGTTATATGGCAGCTATAGGATAGAGTCGGCCGATTTCGGTCGTTCCTACTTATATACTGCGTGCAAAGAAAAGAAGGGTGTGTGCAAAGTTTCAAGTCGATAGCTTTAAAACTGAGAGACTAGTTTGCGTAGAAACAGACAGACGGACATGCTTATATCAACTCTGGAGGTGATCCTGATCAAGAATATATATACTTTATAGGGTCGGAGATGTCTCCTTCACTGCGTTGCACATTTTTGACCAAAATTATAATACCCTCTACAAGGGTATAACAACGCAATTCAACGGAATTACACGGCCAATAGTAAATAATAATATTTAATTCAATATATAATACAATTGGATCATTTTCTTCTCTTCTCGACTGCAGCCAGATCCTCACTAGGACCCATAAACTCTGACAAAAATATGACGTATGCAAGCGCTTTAAAATCAGGACTGGCTACCCCTGCCTCAAAAAGTTAATTTCTGCACTCAGCATACCAAACACCAAATGCGGCTCAGCAGCATCAATCGCCAGAGCAGCTTCAACACCTCAAACTACAAATAGACGATGTAACCTGCTACGATAGATAGTAAAACCGCTCCCGCGGCATCAGGCAACGCCGAAGTTGCAGAACCAATAGTTTAAGAGGGTGTTGAATCTCTGTTAAGTCAGCCGTTAACCATTTGCCTAAGCTTTCTTTTCTATTTGACACTCGAGGGAAGCGGACGAAAAGTGAGAACATAGAATTAAGATTTGATTATGAATTGTACAACTATTAATTTACTAAGAATTTAAAATGCTTATTACTGCTTGGAGTGTATGAGTCGTTACCGACTGTATCACAGTTACCCCTTGCTGCCCTGTTATGAATGAAGAAAACAAATAAACAATTCTCAGCATCTACACGTTAAAACCGGATATACATATATCTCAAAAATCGGATATAGTTGGCCGATCCCTATGAGAATATCATAATATTACGATATGCGACAGTGATTTGGAACTTTTGAAGAGACCTAGTAGGAATTGTTTATTAGGTCGAGTATAGTATAAAACCATGTTTGAAATTTTTCAAACACTCTCAAAATCTTGATTTATTTGGAAAAAACGGTTTTTCGGGACTTTTTTGCTCTTAAAAATTCCTAAACGCGTAATTTTAAACCGATTTTAAAATTTTTTTCGTTTTTCCATAGTTAAATGTTGGAGCTTTTGAAAAAAAATAGATCTTTAATTTATTTCAACAAAAAGTATAAAATTTTTACGCAAGAAACTGACATTTTTGAATTTTTGTCGTGTTTTTTGGACTTTGACGCAATTTTTTCGGTACAACTTCCAAGGTCTCGTTTTATTCAGAATTAACGAGACAATATTGATATGTGTCAAAAATGATACCATTTCTTATGGATATGGATTGGCGGAAAACTACTGAACCGATTTACTTTAAATTTGTTTTCAAATGCTCGTAATGAAATTTTTTCTGTAAAATAGAACAATTTAAGTTGTAACATTGTAATCGAACCAATGTGAGAGTAAAGAGATCAGAAATATCTTTTACTATTTAAAATTGTTTACTATTTTAAATTTTACTATTTAATTAATTATTTATTTAATAACAATTTAACAATTGTTCGTTCTGATCAGAGATCCTTTCGGATCCTTGCGGATATTCTTAATGGGGTCAGAGATTATTCCTTCTTTATTTTACATACATGTATTATGTATTATTTCATTTTATACCCTTATGAAATTTGGCATGTCGTATTATTTTGCCAAAAATAGCTCTCATGTAAAATTTAAACTTTCTAACTCTTAAAACACCAAATCGAATTACATTTTTGGAAAAATGTTCTTAGGGTGTTGTTCTTTAAGATAAAGCAATAAAAAAAATTTTCGATTTATTGAAAATAAAAAAGGTATATAACCCCTTAAAGTAAAACCTAAAACCCTAATTTCTGTTTTGCTTTTCTTTTTTCTTAATTTTTTTTCTTTAATTTCTTTTTTTTGGAATGGTACAAATGACAATTTGACAACTATGAGTCAAAAAACTAGTATTTTTCATCTCAAAGCAAGCTTTTTATTTTATTATTTTTTTTAAGTGATTAAATACCACTTTCAGTCAGTATGCATCCAAAAATAATAAAAAAAACCCTACAACATGAACCATATCTTATGGTTGGACTAGGTTAAACTCGTCTTATATCTCTTCATAAACATTAGAAATCTACACTAAATTAAACCTGTAGCTGTAAACCTGTAAACCTGTATTTCTAAATTTTTACCTGTAAACCTGTATTTCTAAATTAGTCTAAATTTTAAACACAAATTGTAGGCATATCACATTTGATTTCTAAGATAAGGACACAAAACATAGTTTTTGAATCTATCTTATGTATCATGGTGTAATGCGGTTTTTAATCAATTTAAAGACTGTAACATCTGATTTGCTTTACAGTTTCTCAAAATGGATAACTTTATTAATTTCCAAAGTTTAAAAAATTGATTTTTGCTACATAAACGGGTTGTCTGAACCATAGTTCGTAGCTTCAAGTGTATATCAACATTTGATCCACCTTTTATAATTGCATCATTAAGCCATTTTTAGCTTTGTAGAGGGATTAACTTATTATTTTACCCTTGAAGTCTTTGTCCAGATGTTTAAGAAAAATTTTCGTCCAAAGAAAGGATTTAAAATGTTAAAGGATATTAAATTATATTAAAATTTTCATATAATTTCTTTTGTCATTTCACCAAATAACGAATACCCGAATTTTGTTAGGGTAGACAGCCTGAAAAGTTAGAAAAATCAAAATTTTGTGCGCTGGCTTCGAAACGAAATCGCACCCACACATGCACCAGTGTATGTGAATCTGTGACCCGCATACATACAAAGATCAATCCAATCGCAGACCAACCTTCTTCAACGCGCTCCTGTCAGAGACTGAGAAACAAAGCATTCAATGAAAACATGAGCGTAAGATGAACGAACGATGAGCGTAAGAAAGAGAGTAAGAACTCGCTCTGGGGCCTGCTGAAGCCTGTGGCAAGAAATTTTTGCGTCCATTTTCGTTGTATGGAATGGGTTGTCTATATGCTGTATGGTTAGTGACTACGAATACCGGGTATAACCACCTTCTGGCCTTACATAAGCTTTTGTCTGGCAATGCGACAACGCGTACAGTGTAAATCTATCGGAGCTTATTCAATCTTCAGTTCCCATCTCCAATCTGCAGTAAAGATTGTATACAAATCGAAAATATCGGATAACGTTGGCTTTATGAGAATTTCATTATTAAACCATTAACAATTTAAAAAAGTCTCAAGCTTCTTTCTTTAAAAATACCAAAATTGGCTTATCTCCGACTGCCTCAGTTATATAAAAGCTATAAGATATGGTCGACCGATCCTAATGGAAGTTGATGGGTCAGATCAATTGTTCAACAACAGAATCTGTAGTAAGTTCCAATCTTTCAACTCTAAAAAACCAAAAGTTATGGGATTTCTGATCAATCAGTTATATGACAGCTATAGGATATAGTCGGTCGATCCCATTCCGACTTACACACTGCATGCAAAGGAAAGAAGGGTGTGCAAAATTTCACGTCAATTATTTCAAAATTTAAAAAAAAACAAGAAAGGAAAGCTAACTTTGGGCGGAGCCGAAGTTGATATACCCTTGCAGTTAAAAACAATTAACTAAAATAAAAAATCTAAAAAAATGTCCCAAGCTTCTATCTTCAAAAATACGAATTGATATTTCTACCAAATACCATTTCCGATCGTTCAGGTATATGGCTGCTATAGGATATAGTCGGCCGATCCTAATGAAATTTGGTAGGTTGGATCAACTGACCAAAAATAGAATTTGTATCAAGTTCCAGCTTTCTATCTTCAAAAAAACGAAAGTTGGGTCATTTCCGATCGTTCAGCGAAATTTGGCATGTCCTATTAGTTTGCCAAAGATAGCGCTCTTGTAAAATTTGAACTCTCTAACTTTAAAAACACCAAAGTTATACCATTTCCGATCAATCAGCTATAGGATGTTATAGCAAAGTTATATGGCAGCTATAGGATATAGTCGGCCGATCCGGGCCGTTCCGACTTATATACTGCGTGCAAAGGAAAGAAGGGTGTGTGCAAAGTTTCAAGACGATAGCTTCAAAACTGAGAGACTAGTTCGCGTAGAAACAGACAGACAGACGGACAGACGGACAGACAGACGGACAGACGGACATGCTCATATCAACTCAGGAGGTGATCCTGATCAAGAATATATATACTTTATAGGGTCGGAGATGTCTCCTTCACTGCGTTGCACACTTTTGGACAAAATTATAATACCCTCTGCAAGGGTATAATAAAGGTTTATTTTTTTCTTGTTTTCTTTTTCCAAACATTTTCTACTGAAAAATTAAAACTTTTTTTGTGAGCGGCAGAGCTCGGGGAGAGAAATTTCCTATGCCCCTGGAATTAGGCCCTGCCGACGACTGGTTTATACTGTGTGTGTGCGGCAGAGCTCGGGCAGAAAAATTTCCTATGCCCGTGGAATAGGGCCCTTCGGACCACTGAATTAGTTTATTTCTTCGATGAATAACAAACATCTGGACAATTAATTTGTGTTTTTTTTACCATACAAGGGTGTACAAATTAAACTCCCCAAAAGAATCTAATGGAAAAATAGAATCGAATCTGACTCTTTAATAAAATAATGTCGTTTTACTATTATTTTCCTATTTTATAAAAATATTATATAATATATTTTATTATAAATATGTATTTTATAAAAACGAAGCATTAAAATCTCCACTTCTGTAAAAAGTTACATACGGTATTTTCGCAGATATATGTCGACACATTGTTAATACTTAATGGGGTCAAAAAGTATTTTTTTTTTTCCAAAAATTAAACACCTTACTTAAAGTGAGCTAGGTAAATTCCTAAAAACGGAGAAGATAACTAACATTTTTTCTCGTCGTGCTGATTAGTCATTTATTAACCAAGAATAAACATTGAATATAAACAACGTCCGTCTTTGTAATAAGAAAATTTACCAGGTCGGTGTTATTGGTTGGCTAAACAACAGTTATAACAAAAAATTGAATTACTGATTTTCAGGGCTATGAAATTGTTTAGTTAAAAAGAGGGTAAAACAAAATTAAATTGAAAAACCATTATTTTTTTTGTTGTAAATATTTAAATAAGATATAAATGCTTCCCAAAACATAAAATGTATTTGCATACATATAAACATACCGACTTCGCTTCTAAACTGTAATACATACATACTTATTAAACATTGCGTATGTATACAATGTAACACTTGTTATATATATAATCACATCAGTTAAATGTTCTGGATATGTAACGAACGATTTTGCTGTTTGTCTGCATTCATTTATTTTAAATCATATAAAATCCATACCACATAATAACATTTCAACTAGTTTAATTATAATTATGTATGTATGCTTAAAGACTTTCAAGATAATTGACTTGAGCTTTTTAACTAGAGAAATGTATTGCTTCTTTTCTTTTAAAATACCAATTTAAAATTTCTAAGGGTATAGGGTTCACATACACATACTTTTCAAATGTATTTATTTTTCGATTTTTTACTAGCACTAAAGAATTATTATTGTGACGTCTTAAATTTTCTCTGCGCAACAAACATTTACAATATGGCGAATAATAAATCGATGACTAATCGATAATTTGGATTATTAAGTATTGTTTTAAATGTATTAAAGATTCTCTAATACAGTATTTACACTTGATTATCACATTTGTTTATGTCATTCTATCACATTAAAAAAAAAAAAACAATAAAATTGAAGAATAAATCATAACATTAATCACTGTATGCCACATTTCGTTTTTTTTATTTTATTTGCAAAGGAAGTTATTATACATTGAGACTTGCAGATTCAGTTCAGAATTATGTAAAAAACATATGTAGAAGAATCGAGAAGATCAATTTTCATTTCTATTACATTTGCGACACCTTATTAATTTATAAAATTTTAATGTTTACTCTAATTCAGTGGTGTGCAACTCTTCTTTTCCATAGCAGGCGTGATATGTTCGAAAATTTTGCTACAGCGCTGCCGACAGTTTGAGCACGTTCAAATTTCTTGGAAGCTCTTTCTTTAGCTATACTTTTCCCTCTCTTAACAGCCCAAACTTTAGAAAAGAAAATTATTCACTAAGATACATATTTCAGAAATTTGGGAGGAACAAGTTTTCACCATAGAAAGCATAGATGAGGAACCGTAGTGATTCTTTTGTATAAGAATTATTGCTAGAAAAGCTTTCTTAAATATGAAAAGGAACTATTTAAATATCCAATTGAACTTTTGAATTAACGAAAAACGAAATAACGAGCTAACACGCAGGGTCCAGTATGTTAATTGCATTGCTATTATATTGAAGTTGTCGAAAATTTCAATTATAGTTTATAGTTGAACTGTATTTTGTAGTTGTTAGTTTTTAAATTTACTCTATTATAGCTTAGGGCGGAGCGAAAGCTCATATTAGCTCTGGTGCGAATTTGCCCCGCTTCGCCGCAATAGATAAATTAGTCTTAAGATTAGAGAGAAATACATTCGAAATTATAACGTTGATGAGGCACGACCATTCTTTTCATTCTCGTTTTTTCGCATTTTTTGAATATTTAGCAGCCACCTTTGTTTTGTTATTTTCAAAAGTGTGAGATAAATCAATCTCGTTAAACATTTTGTGTGATTTTGTTTACTCAGTGTGAATTTCAGTATGAATCCAATAGAGTTTTAAGCCAATTTGGTATTGAATTTACCACATTTTCTCCGTTTCACAGTGATTTGGCTATTCTAGCATTGAATAGCTCTCATTGTTTTTCTTTTTATCACTTTTTTCACAAAATTAATTCATTCAGAAAAGGAAAGCCGAGACGCAGTGGAACGCCCTGGAAAGTTACATTCTTTAAAGGGGCAGCGTGGCTGGGTGAACGAGATTGGAGGAGCAAAGAGTGAAGGACTAAGCGGAACGTAGCAATCCCTGGAAGACCATCGGGTCCGTGCGGCAGTTGAGCAGTGGTCCGTGGCCGAGAGGACCGAAAAGGCATGGTAAAGATCCCGCCAACGAGAGTGTAGCGTGATACTAAAAAAAAAAGGATAAACGTCAGTAGGATTACCAGGTGGTTTAGGCTCTATATAAGATGAAATATTAGAGAAACCCTTTACTCCTTGCCGCCACGCAAAGTGGACGTATTGATCTCCCTAACGGCATTAAATTAGTAACTTCTAAACTAAAATTGAGATCTTAGGTCAGTTTTTTTACTGCGCAGAGAAAAATCATAGAATATTTTAAAAACAAAAATATGTCCATAATGTTTATTTACCTTTTTTTTTTATTCTCCGGATGCTTTATTATAAAAGTTTTTGGAGAAGAAATTGGATACCCATTTGACAATGAAGATATCCAAAGGTCGGAAGAAACTAATAAAGCATTTAAGATCTCTTCGAGGGCATTTTTCCTCCAATTTTGTCTCGTATTGCTGTCGCGGAAGTCGTTGTTTCTGGCTTCAAGAGCTTTCCCGGACATCATGCTTCATGAATTAAAGTTCTGTGTACAGAATGTAAAACAAGGGATACGCTTTCAAAAATAATTCGGCAGCTTCCAAAGCGAAAGATCCGAATGAGCCAGATTTGGTTGTTCGAAAAACCTCTTTGCAGTGCTTCTGTTGTTTGTACTGATAGTAGCAATTGGTATATCTACCAGCAAATGCATTTCTTCTCTCATCTTCTGCTGAAGTTTTTTTTTATGTTGCCACTTTTGTAAAGGAATTCTATATGAAATGTGCAAAACACACTCGAAAAACCTAATCAAGGCGTGGAGACTTGATAAGCTGTATTTAAATAGGTCATATTAATATTCATAGAAAAGATTTTTACCAAATTCAGATCGTTTATATTTTTATGAATTGCGCTACAGATTTGCGAAGAGGATTCCGATATGCCACTAAACGTTTTGTCATCAAGCATGGTCATATGAAATTGGTGATCAATTCTAAAGCTACTCACTATTGTTGGTTTGAAAAATAGCCAAATATATTTGACATTTGGCTTTTAATATTTTTACTTTCTCTGCGAGTCAAATTTGCCGATTCTTTCTCGAAATGTATCTTAATATGTCGACAATAGTAAGCTACTAACTAATGTTGGTAAGATATTTGATACTTGGTATTTAATATTTTCACTTTCTCTGCGAGCCAAGTCTACCAATTCTTTCTCGCAAAGTATCTAAATGGGTCTGTTTGGTCATTGAGCGTTTTCAATGCCGTAAATAAAGACGATTTTGTATTTAAATTGAACGTTATAAATATTTATTTCTGCATGCAGATCAAGCCGGATGATCCGCAGATAGACCAGCTATGGTGCATGCAGGGACTCAAGTAAATACAGAGAGAGGGCGGCCCGACAAGTCACCTCGAGCTAAAGATCTCGAAAGTGGAGAGGGCGGCCCGACCTAGACATTGCCGAGCTAAAACTCTCTATGGAAAGCTTGTTGAGTCGAGCGGCCGAGAAAGAGTCGGCTTGCGATCAACAAGCCTTTGTACAAACTTAACCCTAATAAATAAACATTACACTAATAATTACACTAAACATTACATAAACATTATTTAAACATTATTTAAACATAAACATTAAACGCCGTGCTGCTGCTTGACCTGACAGGGTCGACAATATCGAGTTGAAGAAGGATGTGTATAAAACTGTCGGTCCTTTCTGCACTGTCAATGGTAACATGGAGAAATTTTTGGCTGTATATAGAAGGGCCGCTGCTGCCATCACAGTCCCAGTTGTATGAAGTAGTTAATTGGGTGCTATTATTATTTTCAATATGGGTTGGAAAACTTCCTTTTAATAATCTTAGCAATCCTAGCTTTGTAGTGCTGCTTCAGCAAAATGCTCAGTGACCTCGATGACACTGGGATGGGCATTTTTTTCGCCCAACGTAGTTTATCGTAGTATGGATATATATCGGAGTTGTGTCCTTTGGCGGCTTCTGTAGTCAATGCTGTGAAGTAGTCAAAGTTTTCATTATCTTGCGCTTAACTCTTCGTCGGAGTTTAGCATTGTCACCAACTGTGAAGCAATGCGTTTTTCACCATTATACAAGCTGCAGCTAGAATGTAACAAATGTCGTACATCTTCATTAACACCTGAAAATTATTTGACTTGCATTTTTCCGAAATACCTTTTTTGTGGGCGTGTCGTAGAATATTTTTGATCTTTCAATTAATACAAGCGGCGTATCTACCCATTCCTGTGTTTTTGTTTCTGAAAAAATCCGAATTTCCTCCAAAGTATTTTTATTTTACTATAAGCCTTCTAGAAAAATTTCGCAATTTTTTGCCAATCTCGATGTGCTCTTCCAGTACCAAAGACAAAGTTTTCCATGACAAAAAATACCTTGGTTTGGATGACTTCTCAGTGCCATACTAAAACAATATCCCTTTTTGCTTCTGACATTGTGCCTAAAAAGTACCATAGTATGAAAGATAGCAGGTAATATCAGTTCATATTACACATTTTGGACGCATTATGTTTCACACTTCCGACTAGTAAAAGAGTTAGACTGAATAGGGGTGAATACAGTATGTTCTACTCAACGAACGACGGGTGTACGCTAAAGCGGTTTGTTAATGCACTTAATTTCCCCTACGTTTTATGACCTACACATTTATAGACCGCTAATTTTGTAATGTAATACATACCTTGAAGACAATAATAAGCCAAACTCCTCCAAACGGGCTCTTCTGACGAATCTCAGAATAGGCTTTTCGACGAACGTAGTGATCTCGTGCAGAGCCGTCTCCATGGATCGGCCCTTGCTTTACGCGTGCTGTGATACCGAAATGTCATCTGGGTTAATGGTAAGATGAATGTGGGGGCTGATAAGTTTCCCCAATGTCTAGAGGAGGAAGGACGACAGGCTTATCGGTCTGAAGTTCTTATGAGAGCAGTTCGGCTTTGGTTAGTTGTGCCGGGGAGATGCCATCTGGGCCTGACGACTTAAAGGGTTTAAAACTGTTTATCGCCCAACTGAGATTCCTAATACCAAAGATTATGAAGTACATACATAGATGGGACATCAGGGCCCAAAACGGTCAACTTTTTTCGTCGACCTTGATGGTGAGGGGGGCACGCACATGCATACGATTTTATATTTAGAACTCTTTACATGTATCCGTCAACAAAAATGTGAGCCTTTGTATGTATGTGTGACTGCTCGCACGACGGTGTAAAAATGTTTTTGCTTCCATATTTCAATTTCAATTTCTCGTTTCTGATTTCAATGCGCCGATGTGGTAGTTAGTGGAACAAATAGTATTTTAAATCGCTGGAGATCGAGACAGGGTGGTAGCGTAATGCATAGAGTAGTTACTCTATGTATAATTTCTGTGTTCAAATCCTAGCAAGGACTTTGAACTTTTTCTTTCTTTTTAATTATTATTTTTTTTTTCTTTTACTGTAATTTTTTTTTCTTTTATTTTACAATTGTAAAATTGTTTTATTAATAAAATTTCAAGGGAGTCCTGTCGGCATTTTGCAGTTAAAAATAATAATAATAAAGTAAATATGAAAAGTAAAAATAAAAATAAAATTAATAAAAAAAATAAAAGTAAATATAAAAATAATCA